TCCTGCTGGTGATACAGTAAATAATTCCCCTCTTGGGCTGTTCGACCAAACGCTTTATTTACAACAACACCAAATAAAAGCGCACCTGCTGTCCTCAGTGGCACAGTTTTCCGGCACATTAGTCATAACTGGATGAGGTTGATCCAAGAAACGGAAGCACTGTATGGATCGGCCTCATCCGCGACATCACTGTTGAAGTGGGGAGAACTTATTTTGGTAGCAAACAAGTCATATGCGGATGCCTGAAAAACACAGCACGGATAAGTAGGTGAATTTTGCATTGTATCACGGCAGCATAGGCATGAGTAGGTCATGTTTCTGGTAAAGGAGACGTCTGTAAATCCCGCCAACCAATGCGCAGTCCTCTCCCACCTTTTTGCTCTTCTTCCTTTTCAAAACACTTAAGTTTGACTACCCATTGGCCCTCACCCCGTGCGAAGGCCTGGACGCATCAGCTGAAGCGAAGGCAATAGCAAGAGAAAAGCTTTGGAACTGGATACTTTTATACAAGTTGGGTTCCCAGGCCCTCATTTCTACCTTTGGATAGGTTTCCAGTACGTAAAGCAGCAGCGATAAGAAGGAATCCTTTGATTGTCATTCCGTCCCCTGCCTCTGTGGTATTTTCATCAGAGCCAGTGTCTCGCTCCACTAACAGTACCTCCTCGCAGCCCTGCCGTTCATGGCTCTCGCGGCTGCCTATTCGTCAGACACGGCGTCCCGCCATTTTCGTGACTGATGGGAATTACCCACCGAATACCCGTGGCCACGCCGGCTGACAACATGGAAGTCAAGAGGCAGGGCCCAGAGCACTCACTTCTTCCCCTAACACACACACACACCAGACACAACAGCAGTGAAAGAGTGAATAGCAGGGGATAAGATAAAAAATCTGATCAATTTCCAAAAGTAGAAATGAGTCGGAAAATCGGCTTTTAATTCTCCTTAAAGACTGTGGCAAACGCAGTTCAATAGGGGGCCAAGCCAGAAAGAGAGACTGATTGTTGTTCTAGTTTTTACTCTCACACATGCCGTTATAACTTCATATGTTTCAAAAGTTTTGTAAAACTCTTGAGCGCTGGTGTAAGGCCACAAAATCTGCTTTTCCCAGTTGAGAATTTACTCTCGGTGTACACCTATAGTCTGCTTTCCCCGATGATTTTTTTGTTTTGTTGGAGGACTACCTTATTTTGTCCGGTCTGGTCGCCTTATTTTGACCGGAAAATGAGCCGTTTGTATCAATAGACCATTCGATTGGCGTTAGTTCAGAGGCCACTGTGCAAACTGGGAGTACAGTCTCCAAGAAAGGCATTTTCACAATTTTTCCCATGTGTTTCACCTTAATTTCTGTATGGGTTATAAGACCTAACACTGAAAAACAGGACTGTTTTATGCAGTAAACCACATGGGTAGGGCTGAAGACCCACTATCGGGCTGAATTCCGCGAGTGTTACAAAATCAGCTTTTATCTAATTCCCGTGCTGAGAATTTGGCAAATTGGTCTCACCGTGTAGGTATATATTACTTATTTTAATGGGCAGTATGTATGCGTGTTTTTGCACTCACTAGTACTTGGTTAGTGCGAATATTGGCTTGCCCTTAACCCCAATCCTGGCAGTTGACTGCTAACAATCTAAATGTTACTAGACTCAATACAAAGGCGGCTACAGATCGCACATTAGGTTGGCAAAACCGAGCCTTTTCTCCAAAATGCCTGCATAGTATTCCTTGATTGGGCACGAGAAGATGGACCCCTGCATTACAGGTGACTTTGGGCTAAATTCCAGGGGATTTAAGACAGGGGTTAGGGTTTGGATTTGTGTTAAGTTTAGGCTTAAGATTACATTTAGGACGCGGGTGTAGATGATAGAGGAGGGTTCACATGCTAGTTAAATGCGCTCCAGGCTGCGTTTGTAGTATTGTTATGAGGCAGTAGTTTAAGGAATCCTTATTCCCGTGTCAAACTCCTTCATTTCTTTCCAAATGAGCACGGCAAGTTTTCACTACCAGATTACAAGGTTCACTCAACGCTATAACTGGAATTAAAGAGGATTTAATTTATGGACACCAACAACGGGATCCCGGATACGACCTCAGAACAGTTACCAGGACAACGCAGCAGAGTCCCGGACCCACTCTTCCGCCATAGACACTTAAATGACTCGTTTTGTCTCCTGTCGGAACAGTATTCTCAAAACGCGTCTGGATTCTTAACTCGTGCTCGTGCGAGGAGTATGGCAAATCAGTCCCTATTGGACATTGGATCATATGGATGTTTGAATAGAAAGCCTTAGTGGACCAAGTCATTTCCTTTCCTGGAACTCCAATACATCAGAACTGACAGACTCCAAGAACTGGGAACTGTTTGTCCAAGTTGGAAGGAGGGATGCCTTCATTTTCCTCCCTTCTCAACTCAATCGACTGCTGTATTGTGTCAACGGACGTAAAATCGTCCTGGAAGAGGGCAGGGTCCACAGTTACTTTTACGGCACTCATGTGTTCCGCGCACATATATAGATTTCCCGCAGTCTTCTTTCAAGTCCTCCTTACCCTGCTATTGAAGGCGAGTGTTTCGAACCTGTCTGGACTGGCAGTCTGTGGATTTTCAACCACTTAGTAGACTTTCCATGAAGTTCAAAGTGACGGCCTGCTAGGCCAGTAACTGGTTATTCCAGTGTTGCTAGCCCTTGTCAGTGATGTTTCGCCATCTCGTGTGCACTCCATCAGCTAGCTCTAACTTAATCGCACACTGCTTTCTGAATGTGTGAGCTCAAACATTCACACACCTACCCCCTGAATGAGAGACATAGCCTTATTAAGTTCCAATACGCAGGAGGCTGGCAACCAGGATCTCAACATCCTGGCGGGCTCATGACAGGTGGAGGGAGAAAAAACGACCTCGTGGAACTGACTAGCGCTAGAAGGAGGCAGGGAAAGGGCATAACCACGTGGTTCGCGCAACCTGCCGTCGCTCACTCTCTCTCTCTCTCTCTCCACCCTCTCAACGCCTCAGTCTCTGCGCGACGCGATTACCACGATCACAACGAGGAGGTCTGCGAAGATGAGCTGACAAGATGACCGGCTCATTCGACCAATCAGGAGTCCGTATGTGGCGAAGAATTGATTGTACGCACAAGCGCAGGCGCAGCCAGTACGCGCGAGAAAGAGATTGCATCCAGGACACGAGCGACGGCGAGTGAGCGTGCGCTGCACTCGCGCGAAATCGCATGCCTACACACACACACATACGCACCCACGCGCAAAATGCTACGTGCGCGAGTCCATTTGCGCGCTGGCTTGCGCTGGCTCTCCTCGGGCCCAACGCGTCAGCGTCAGAGCGTTGTTGCAAGTCCACGACCAGGACCTGCGACAACAAGGACCTGAAGAAGGTCGCGTGGAGGCGCGTGGCGATGTGGCCGCCGCCGCCACCGCCGCCGCTGTCAGTGGCACCGATGTTGGCGCTAGCGCGCCGCGGTCGCCGTCCCCTGGGTCCGATGTCGGGCCCGGCGGTCAATACACAACCTAAGCTCTGGCGCGCGCGTGTGCGCGCACTGGTAAGAGACGACGACGACGGTGATGATGATGGCGGTGGCGGTGGTGGTGGTGGTGGCGGCGGCGGCGGTTGAAGGTTCGGAGGCGTCGTTGCTCTTGGCACGAACACAATGAAGCCACCTCCGCTGCTGCTACTACTAAAACCGTCGTAATTCAAGTAACAGCGCGTGTCTTTTGGTGGTCATACAGCCAGACGGGCTAGTACGCCGGAGAATTGGACTTGTTGGAGGGTTACACACACGTACGCAGGTGAAAGATCGCGTCAGACGGCAGCGCGCGCGAGAGAGTGACTACGAAGAAGGAACGACGAGACCGGGCGAGAGAATGCAAAGACCGGAGAACGCAGACGAAGTGCAGGGGAGAGGGAGAAACGACAGTCGGAGTGATTTACATATTCACAGTTGCCTTTTCCTGTCTCTACCTTACAGGCGAGCATCTGGATTCATGGCTTAAATGAACAACAAAATTTAAACGCGCGGTAGCCACACTACCAGTTAAAGGTCGGGGCACAATCGACCGGAAGAAGAGAAGCTGATGAGTCGTTCCATTTTGAAGGTGATCGTAACAAGTGATGTTCTGTACACAACCATTTCACGCGAAAAGTCTATCAAAAGCAAATCACCAGCCGCACAAAAAAGTCTTTAAGTAGGGCTTTCATTGCTACGACAAATATGCTTAAGGCGCTGTTTTTCCATCAAATTGCCTAGCTCCACAGCCATATCACATAAATAAGTTGCCCTGGATAATAGGGTGACAAATAATCCCGTTGGAGAAGGAAAAACCTTTCAGCTATGCGACGGACTGTATGTGTTCTAGACCGGAACTTCAAGCAAAATTGAACGCCAGCTTTCCATTCTACAGTCAGATTAGATCTGTTAGAGCTGGTTCTATGTATGGAGTGTGTTAGACCATGCTTTCCAAGGCGGCGGAAGAGTTCGATGAAGCAGACGCGTGTCACTTCGTGTGGCTGTCTCCTGTCCAGTTTCAACGACTGAAGATCACACAAAATCACTTCAGTATTTGTGTGGCAACCACCACTGGTTACCTTGCTATCCCCCCGTGCCATCCGACTTTTTGCTGCAAACAATCATACTACGTTTCCGCGCAATCACCGTAGCTCGTTGTAATAACTTCACTGCGCGTGTGCCGACACTGACGTCAGTCTAGACAGACTGCATCTGCGTAGACGCTAATAGGCGTCATCCCATGGGTGCCAAGACTTTTATTCGCCGATCGTAACAAACCTCCTTAGACGTTGTCTGGCACTTCTATGAAACAGCGGTGCCTAAAAAACTACAAACACTGCATCAATGCAGAATTTTCAAAGCAGTTGCCGTCTTTTGTACAAGTATTATTTCGTTTGTGTGTTAGTTGAACATGTAGAAACACGCTGCAGCACAGATGGAGGTAGGGCAGAACACCTCTACCTCAGCGACCTTTTCCAGAAGGACGGTTCACGACCTGCGGAAGGACAGACCTAGGTCTGGAAAGTCATCTCCTAATCCAGTGGTTTCCCAACTTCATCCATTTTGGCTTCAATTTCCGGACGGAAATTTAAGCCCATACCAAAACGACTATTTTGCGGATTATAAGTACTTTCAAATACGCAAAGTAACCTTTTTCAATATTTCAAGCAAAGTATAGAACAAGACTAATTGGCCATGTGAAGGTATAAACATGATAAAATATGATTCATTGCCAAAATAGGCAAACCCGCTGATCGGTTGAGTTTTCTCAAGTATTTATGGTCACATGTGAGAAACACAAATTCAGCCGTGCCAAAGCAAACAAACGCACCCCCCCCCCTTGTGGTTACTCATAAGTGTCGAAGAGGAAAATCACTGTTCGCAACAATATTTCATGGATAACTGCAGAAGAATAAGTAGTGTTCATGGAGAGACAAATAGTACTTCCGGTTGTGTCTGAAAATCCCTGCTGCATAACTGTGATTTAAGTTCAAGATGCGCTCATTAGAAATGCTACCCATATCATTTTCCCGCATAAAATTCGATCTAGAAAAATGGAGGTCTCGAAGGAATATCTAGCTAAACAATAGAAGTACTGATCAATCGCTTATGATAATGCTGGTATTTACGAAGAACTCTCTGATTGACTTTGAATCGGCCCCTCACGCCTACCACACCTACACTGTTGGCTAACGTGACATGCCACACCATAGTGAGAAGTTCGATGCCACATGGTCCAGTGGCAAGGCTAGATCGAGGGGGTTAGTGATTGGATAGGCCGCAGTGGCTGGCCTGAAGAGAAAGTTCGTCGGCATTTGAAAGGCATGCCAGCGTCGTGGAGCCACAGGTGGGGGCCTTTTGCGAGGACGGTCTGAGTGAACGAGCATCGGGTTTAGTCACTCCGTTCACATAACTGTTCATCCACCAACCCTCCCTAGGCGTCCGTTGCACCGCACCGCACCCCATCCAAACAAACAATGACGGAGGGGCGTGCACCGTTCACATTACGGAACCCACTCGTCCCATTGTGCCTTGGGACTCTCTCTTTCTCTCGAACCCCGCCATCAGCTGCACAGAGGCGCGGCCGGACAGTCCGACTGTCGTAACCGACGATTTCCACGATGTGCTCCACAACAGGGTGAGATCAGGCACGGTGACTTTCGCGTGATTCCTTTTACAGCGATGGCAAAGTTGCTCTGCATCTACCGCAATCTCTCCTCCCCTACCTAGGCCCGCTGTTATGTTCAAGTCAAGAAGACCGGAGGTGAGGGGGGGGTGCAGGTAGCTGGCTCGGTCGGAGCCGCCCCTAGACGTGCTGCCATACCCGACTCGGATCCCGCGGAGTGGGAGAGCCACAGAGGCCACATTAAGAAGGAGCCATTGCAGCCTGACTGTCAGTTTACCCGTCGGCCACTCAGTCCACAAAAGCAGAAACTGGCTCGACTGTGAGGTCTGAGTTACCCCGCCAATTGGCAACCACCCCCTCCCCGCCAAGCCGCGACTTTTAGCGCACTGGGATATCCCACTCTCGCGCCACATTCACTGTCCGAATCAGTCAACTGTGTGTGTTGGGAGTGGACGCAGTGGCTGGTGGCCTCGTCTGCGTGTGCCACATACACGACCTGGTCCCCCAAACACAAGCAGCAAGATCTCACACCAAAGGGGGCTGGCGGCATGCGTCTCACATGCGTGTGAGTGCCAGAGGTAACGTCGAGAAGGAACCGTTGCAGCCTGACTCTCAGTCCACCAGTCCGCCACTCCACAGAAACACACACAACTGGTTTGGCTGCACGGCTGATTTGAAGCGTCAGTTGGCAACCTTCTAAGCCTCGTCGCTTGGAGCACAGACTCGGATAACACATACAGCTGGGCGAACACATGGAGAAATAGTCGAGAAGCAAACTTCCCACTTACATGGGAGGGGCCAATTACGTACTTGCGTTGTGTGATGATGGGTGATAATGTGCGTTGTAGGTGCAGGTGAGTAGAGATGTGATGGGATGGTATAGCCGGCGATGTTCTACTGCAGGTCTTAGTGAATGCGCATGCGACCGGATAGGCCGATGCGATGGTCGTAAGTGTGAAGGCTTGAGAGAGAGAGAGAGAGAGAGAGAGAGAGAGAGCATCAACGCACAACGGAACGAGTGACTTTCGGAGCGCTATCGACAAGCGCCCATCTAGCACTGTATATACCCGATCGCAACCGACAGGACAGCGAGCCGGTCGCCCAATGTTTAGGATGTTGGGTTTCTAACCAACAGGCCGCGGGATCGAGCCCCAGGGTTTGCACACCACGGGGTTGAGCGTGGATGGCTGTCGACTGTTACTAAGCCAGAAATAGTCACTCCAGTCTCCCTTGTATTTGTCGGTAATGCTATTCTACAATAAGCAATGGTTCGGCCATCGCAAGCAACAAGGTTGCACCCTGTCCCGAGGGTGGCCTGAAAAGGCATTGGTTTCCGATGAAGCAGGCCCCTGTCTCGTCCACTTCGTCCTTTATTCCCCCCCCCCTCTTTCTAAACAGTTTCACTAGTAGTGCAGACAAAAGACGACTAGGAATGGGCGCAGGCGGAGTCATCGACAGTGCCAAACAACCCCTCACAGTATGTCACATACGTGCTGGTCTCCACACTGCAAACTGAACTTTAAATAATGGAATCAGGTGTCTTGCGCGAGTGCGCTATTGCGGTCTGAACTTCAGTCCGGAGGGAGAATGACCTGTAGCATCAGTTGACAACTTTCGAAATCATCAGTGTTAATGTGCCGTGGGAGTTTAGTGGGACATGTGATCTTTCGTAGCGACAAAACTAGGCGCCGAATCCGAATTTGAACAACTTCACATCCCCTCCCCTATCATATGTTTTAGTGACCTGTCGGGATTAGACGGAGTGAAGATGAAATTTGGGGGCGCAGCGTGTCCGACTAGGTGGGGGCAACTTCTATGATTCGCAGGCCACCCCATGAGCCTTTGTGAATGCGGTGACTACTCCACTCGACCGTTACCTGGCACCCAACTCTCGTCAGCCCGTGACGTGCGCCACCATCTCGACGTAGAGTTCTTGCCATCTGAATGAGTCGCTCAAGAAGTCCGAATCGTGGTATGATTCTCCCGAGTCCGTAGCGGTTCAATGCAACTGCCGCTACTACT